GGATTGATCAACAACATTGTAGTGACTCCACAATCATGATTTAAATGACTGAGTGAAAAGAACAATACAAATATACAGAATAAAAAATATTCCAAAAAATACATCTTGTATGCAACAAGGAACTAAAGTAATACTGCACAGCTGAGGAACATACAGTGAGGGAAAAAAGTATTTGATCCCCTGCTGATTTTGTATGTTTACCCACTGACAAAGACACAATCAGTCTATAATTTTAATAGTAGGTTTATTTGAACAGTGAGAGACAGAATAACAACAAACAAATTCAGAAAAATGCATGTCAAAAATGTTATAAATTGATTTGCATTTTAATGAGGGAAATAAGTATTTGACCACTCTGCAAAACATGACTTAATACTTGCTGGCAAAACCCTTGTTGGCAATCACAGAGGTCAGACGTTTCTTGTGGTTGGCCACCAGGTTTGCACACATCTCAGGAGGGATTTTGTCCCACTCCTCTTTGCAGATCTTCTCCAAGTCATTAAGGTTTCGAGCCTGACGTTTGGCAACTCGAACCTTCAGCTCCCTCCACAGATTTTCTATGGGATTAAGGTCTGGAGACTGGCTAGGCCACTCCAGGACCTTAATGTGCTTCTTCTTGAGCCACTCCTTTGTTGCCTTGGCCGTGTGTTTTGGGTCATTGTCATGCTGGAATACCCATCCATGACTCATTTTCAATGCCCTGGCTGAGGGAAGGAGGTTCTCACCCAAGATTTGACGGTACATGGCCCCGTCCATCGTCCCTTTGATGCGGTGAAGTTGTCCTGTCCCCTTAGCAGAAAAACACCCCCAAAGCATAATGTTTCTACCTCCATGTTTGATGGTGGGAATGGTGTTCTTGGGGTCATAGGCAGCATTCCTCCTCCTCCAAACACGGCGAGCTGAGTTGATGCCAAAGAGCTCCATTTTGGTCTCATCTGACCACAACACTTTCACCCAGTTCTCCTCTGAATCATTCAGATGTTCATTGGCAAACTTCAGACGGGCATGTATATGTGCTTTCTTGAGCAGGGGGACCTTGCGGGCGCTGCAGGATTTCAGTCCTTCACGGCGTAGTGTTACCAATTGTTTTCTTGGTGACTATGGTCCCAGCTGCCTTGAGATCATTGACAAGATCCTCCCATGTAGTTCTGGGCTGATTCCTCACCGTTCTCATGATCATTGCAACTCCACGAGGTGAGATCTTGCATGGAGCCCCAGGCCGAGGGAGATTGACAGTTATTTTGTGTTTCTTCAATTTGCGAATAATCGCACCAACTGTTGTCACCTTCTCACCAAGCTGCTTGGCGATGGTCTTGTAGCCCATTCCAGCCTTGTGTAGGTGTACAATCTTGTCCCTGGCATCCTTGGAGAGCTCTTTGGTCTTGGCCATGGTGGAGAGTTTGGAATCTGATTGATTGCTTCTGTGGAAAGGTGTCTTTTATACAGTTAACAAGCTGAGATTAGGAACACTCCCTTTTAGAGTGTGCTCCTAATTTCAGCTCCTTACCTGTATAAAAGACACCTGGGAGCCAGAAATCTTTGTGATTGAGAGGTGGTCAAATACTTATTTCCCTCATTAAAATGCAAATCAATTTATAACATTTTTGACATGTGTTTTTCTGGATTTTTTTGTTGTTATTCGGTCTCTCACTGTTCAAATAAACCTACCATTAAAATTATAGACTGATCATTTCTTTGTCAGTGGGCAAACATACAAAATCAGCAGGGGAACTTTTTTCCCCCCACTGTACTTCCTGAGAGTATACTTTTTTCATATTTCAAGAAAATATACTTACGTATATTTTCAAAAAAAGTATATTTAACTTAAATGTCCACTAAATATATTTAAAGTATTCTTTCAAAAATGCATGTGCACAAACATTTGCAACAAGGAACTAACGTAATACTGCACAGCTGAGGAACATAGTTCCTGAGTATACTTTTTTCATATTTCAAAAAAAGTATATTTAACTTAAATGTCCACTAAATATATTTAAAATATACTTTCAAAAATGCATGTGCACAGCATCCTTTTCTGCAGCTGAAGTTTTGATTTATAATATGATATTCTTCCTCATAGTTTATTCAAATGTTTTGATGTTCATTTTCAAACTGAATCATGTTGTACTTTTAATAACACATTACAAATTACAAATTACAATTTGTATGTTATTGAAATGTATTACCGTAATGTGAACAACTAAAGTGTGAAATGCCAATGTTGCACAGTTCTCAGAATTGTTACTTATAAAATTGCTGCTCCAGTCACAATTGCTATGTAAATAGCATGTTAACATTGGCTGAGAAGATTGTTATTACAATAGCTAATATGGTTAATGAGTAGAAATGTATTTGTAAAAGTATACTTGAAATTATAAATACACTTTTTGTAAAGAAAATACAGGAATTATAATTGAAATACCATTTGAGTATATTTCTAATTTATGAGAAATATACATAAAATGTATTTAAGGTGTTTTCAAAGCATATTTGTTTTGCTCTTTGTCTAATATACTAAGAATACACAAAAGTACAAAAAAGTGTCCCAGTTTAGATCATTTTAAATGTATTTAATATACTTTAAATGCGAATAAAATACAAATGAAATGTACATTAAATGCATTAAATGTATTTAAATTGTTCCAATTTAGATAATTTAAATATACTTTAAATATGTTAATGAAGTATGATTTCTGTATATTTAAAATATTTATTTTTTCCCGCTTGAGTTTATACTGCAAAACTTTGTTTATGCATTGTTGAATGTACTTAGTTGTAGTGACATGTTTTGGGGATTTAGACATATATACAGTATCTATTATTTTGAATGCTAGAAAGTGAACAAATGTATGTAATATATTAGATCAATAAAAACAAAGGCAATTAAAATACCTATTTTTATTACTAGTATAATGTGTCCCTATGTTTTGCGTCATTGGTGTTATCGCCATGAAAATCACTCATTACGAAGATATACAAGGACCTTGAGCATTCTGTCCAGTGGCAAACTTATTGGGGGAGGGGTCTATATTAAAGACAATTATTAGCTAATCATACCCTTTAAGTATGTTATTTATTTGAGGATTCCATTGATAATTTGGTATCTAAATCCAAAGTGTCACTTGGTGTTATTCAATTTAAAGTGCCTTCAGAAAGTATGCACACCCCTTTAAATATTTTCACATTTTGTTGTGTTACAGCCTGAATTTAAAATGGATTAAATTGAGATGTTGTCACTGGCCTACACACAATACCCCATAATGTCAAAATGGAATTATGTTTTTCAAAATTTTTACTAATTAATACAAATTGAAAAGCTGAAATGTCTCAAGTCAATAAGTATTCAACCCCTTTGTTATGGCAAGCCGAAATAAGTTCAGGAGTAGACATTTGCTTAACAAGTCACATAATAAATCGCATGGACTCCCTCTGTGTGCAATAATTGTGTTTAACATGACTTTGAATGACTACCTCATCTCTGTAGGTCCCTCAGTCGAGCAGTGAATTTCAAACACAGGTTCAACCACAAAGACTAGGGAGGTTTTTCAATGTCTTGCAAAGAAGGGCACCTATTGGTAGATGGGTAAACATTTAATAAACAGACATTGAATATCCCTTTGAGCATGGTGAAGTTTTTAATTTCACTTTGGATGTTGAATCAATACACCCAGTCACTACAAAGATACAGGCGTCCTTCCTGACTCAGTTGCTGGAGAGGAAGGAAACTGCTCAGGGATTTAACCATGAGGCCATTGGTGACTTTAAAACAGGTAGAGTTTAATGGCTGAGAGGAGAAAACTGAAGATGGATGAACAACATTGTAGTTACTCCACAATACTAACCTAATTGACAGAGTGAACAAAAGGAAGCATGTACAGAAGAAAAATATTCCAAAACATGCATCCTGTTGGCAACAAGGCACTAAAGTAATACATAAAAAATATGGCAAAGCAATTAACTTTTTGTCCTGAATACAAAGTGTTTTGTTTGGGGCAAATCCAATACAACACATTACTGAGTACCAGTCCATATTTGCAAGCATATTGGTGGCTGCATCATGTTATGGTTATGCTTGTAATCGTTAAGGACTGTGGAGGTTTTTTTTATAAAAAAAAGCAGCGGAATGGAGCTAAGCACAGGCAAATTCCTAGAGGAAAACCTGGTTCTGTCTGCTTTCCACCAGACTCTGGGAGATGATTTCACCTTTCAGCAGAACAACAACCTAAAACACAAGGCCAAATCTTCACTGGAGTTACTTACCAAGAAGACAGTGATTGTTCCTGAGTGGCCGAGTTACAGTTTTGACTTAAATCTACTTGAAAATCTATGACAAGACCTGAAAATGGTTGTCTAGCAATGATCAACAATCAATTTGACAGAGCTTGAAGAATTTTGAAAAGAATAATGGGCAAATGTTGCACAATCCAAGTGTGGAAAGCTTTTAGAGACTTTAAGAAAGACAAAGCTGTAATCGCTGCCAAAGGCATGCCCCCCCCCCCCCCAACAAAAAAAAGCTAAACAAGCTCTATTTGTGGCCTCTGGTACATTCTAATGCCTTGATTCCATCCAAAATACACAGCTAAATTATTGAATACTTTAACGACTTTACCTCCCAGATTGGTAAAATGAGTTGTGGTACTGAGTAGAAAGATGTAACTTTACATTTAAAATTACTGAAAATTCAGTGTTGTTTTGGATATCATCTAGGACTATTTTCTAAGTAAGAAAACCTTTAACATTAAACCGGTCTTGTCTTCAGATTAGTTATGAATTGGCACAATGACGTTTGTTCTTCAAATTGTGTATTTTATTGGCTCTGCTGCTGTGGAGTCTTAAGGTAAGGAAACCAATGTGTCATTTTGTGATTTGGCTGAACTACCCCTTTTAAGTTTGGTCTGTCAATCAGTGTGTGGTTTCAGTCAAATTACAAATGCAGTTATATTATTTGAATCACAATACGTATGATGATTGATACATAGACAATCATAGGTAATATAATATTATGACAGCTGACGGATGGTGACCGCTGACTCATACCAGACCCAAAAGCCTGGGTAGACAGGCTCAGCGAAGGAGGCCTTGAAGCGGTGTATAAGAGACATGGTGTCCCCCACAGTGTAGAACGAGAGGGTGCCTGCTGAGTGGTCCAGGAAGACCCCTATCCTGGAGGAGTAGGGTGCGTTGATTTCCACCTGGTCTTTACTATACCGGGCGGAATAGCTGGAATCAGAGCAGAAGAGGCTCCAGGACTTGCGGTTGTAGCCGATGCGGCAGCTGTCCCCGTAGCCTACCCTCTTGATGCCCTTGTAGGTGACGCCCACGGAGGCCCCCTCTCCACTCCACTCCACCTCCCAGTAATAGGCACCTCCAGACAGGGGCTCTTTGCAGAGGACCTGGGGCAGGCAGTCAAACCTGGAGGCACTGTCAGCATAGTCCTGGGGTTCTCTCTTCAGGGCTGCCTTCTTGTTGCCTCTAGATAGGTACAGCTGGCGGTAGGCTGTGTTGGGGTCCAGGGTGAGAACGCAGGCATCTGAGAGAGGAGAGAGAGCAGGCATGTTATGAGTGAGTGCCACTGTGTGAACTGTGAATGCTCTTCTTTCCTATGGGCTTGACCATTTAACCCTTATACAATCCTAGAAATTACAAGGATAGTTATGGATGGTAAAGCTTTTGTTAAAACCAATATTATACAAAACCATGGCTGCATTTAGTCAGGCAGCCCAATTTTGATATCTTATTCACTAAATTGGTCTTTTGACCAATCAGATCAGCTCTGAAAAAGATCTGATGTGATTAGTCAAAAAGACCAATTAGTGGGAGGGGGGAAAAAAATATTAGAATTGTCCCAGATTTAAGTACCCTATCACATCCCAATATGAAATGTCAAAAAGGTCAGACGTCATTACAACATAATTTTTCAAATACTATCAGTCATTCAAGTCAGCAAAGTGACCTTGAGTTTCACCAGGCAAACTTAGGGCGAGTAACGTAGCCTGGTCACAGATCGGTTTGTACTGTTTGCCAACTCCTCTGGTAATTCTCATGCATTGGCAAGGCAGGACAAACAGATCTGGGACCAGGACACCAGGCTATGATTAATGTGACCCTGCAGGATTGTAGTCGGTCTTATTAGATTTGTCCCGCATGTCCAGAACGGGGTTCATGACTTTCTCAATAACCATTTGGAATTCAGACAATATGCTGTTCAGAGAATCAAAAAAAAAAAAACATAGGATCCAATTAATTTGGAGCATACACATTAATAAAGTACATCTTTCAATTATGGATACATTTAAGGAAAGTGATTCTGCCTTCTTGGTCTTCATCAATGAGCTTGACGCCTTGATAAGTTCCTTTCCTGAGGATGGCTCACCCCTCACAGTTCTGGGGGATTTCAACCTCCCCTACGTCTACATTTGACTAATTTCTCTCTGCCTCCTTCTTTCCACTCCTCTCCTCTTTTGACCTCACCCTCTCACCGTCCCCCCCTACTCACAAGGCAGGCAATACGCTTGACCTCATCTTTACTAGATGCTGTACTTCTACTAATCTCACTGCAACTCCCCTCCAAGTCTCCGACCACTACTTTGTATCATTTTCTCTCTCCCTCTCCTCCAACACTACTCACTCTGCCCCTACACAGATGGTAATGCGCCGTCGCAACCTTCGCTCACTCTCTCTCCCGCTACTCTCTCCTCTTCCATCCTATCATCTCTTCCCTCTGCTCAATCCTTCTCCCTCCAATCTCCTGATTCTGCCTCCTCAACCCTCCTCTCCTCCCTTTCTGCATCCTTTGACTCTATGTCCCCTATCCTCCCGGCCGGCTCGGTCCTCCCCTCCTGCTCCGTGGCTTGATGACTCATTGCGAGCTCACAGAACAGAGCTCCGGGCATCTGAGCGGAAATGGAAGAAAACTAGACTCCCTGCAGACCTGGCATCTTTTCACTCCCTCCTCTCTACATTTCTTCATCTGTTTCTGCTGCTAAGGCCACTTTCTACCACTCTAAATTCCAAGCATCCGCCTCTAACCCTAGGAAGCTCTTTGCCACATTCTCCTCCCTGCTGAATCCCCCCCCCCCTCCCTCCCTCTCTGTGGATGACTTCATCAACCATTTTGAAAAGAAGGTTGACGACATCCGATCCTCGTTTGTTAAGTCAAATGACACTGCTGGTCCTGCTCACACTGCCCTACCCTATGCTTTGACTTCTTTCTCCCCTCTCTCTCCAGATAAAATCTTGAGACTTGTGACGGCAGGCCGCCCAACAACCTGCCCGCTTGACCCTATCCCCTCCACTCTTCTCCAGACCATCTCCGGTGACCTTCTCCCTTACCTCACCTCGCTGATCAACTCATCCTTGACCGCTGGCTATGTCCCTTCCGTCTTCAAGAGAGCGAGAGTTGCACCCCTTCTCAAAAAACCAACACTCGATCCCTCTGATGTCAACAACTACAGACCAGTATCCCTTCTTTCTTTTCTCTCCAAAACTATTGAGCGTGCCGTCTTTAGCCAACTCTCTTGCTATCTCTCTCAGAATTACCTTCTTGATCCAAACCAGTCAGGTTTCAAGACTGGTCATTCAACTGAGACTGCTCTTCTCTGTGTCACAGAGGCTCTCCGCACTGCTAAAGCTAACTCTCTCTCCTCTGCTCTTGTCCTTCTAGACCTGTCGGCTGCCTTTGATTCTGTGAACCATCAGATCCTCCTCTCCACCCTCTCCGAGCTGGGCATCTCCGGCGCGGCTCACTCTTGGATTGTGTCCTACCTGACCGGTCGCTCCTACCAAGTGGCGTGGCGAGAAGCTGTCTCCGCACCGCGTGCTCTCACCACTGGTGTCCCCCAGGGCTCAGTTCTAGGCCCTCTCCTATTCTCGCTATACACCAAGTCACTTGGCTCTGTCATATCCTCACATGGCCTCTCCTATCATTGCTACGCTGACGACACACAACTAATCTTCTCCTTTCCCCCTTCTGATAACCAGGTGGCTAATCGCATCTCTGCATGTCTGGCAGACATCAGTATGGATGACGGATCACCACCTCAAGCTGAACCTCGGCAAGACGGAGCTGCTCTTCCTCCCGGGGAAGGACTGCCCGTTCCATGATCTCGCCATCACGGTTGACAACTCCGTTGTGTCCTCCTCCCAGAGTGCGAAGAGCCTTGGCGTGACCCTGGACAACACCCTGTCATTCTCCGCTAACATCAAGGCGGTGACCCGATCCTGTAGGTTCATGCTCTACAACATTCGGAGAGTACGACCCTGCCTTACACAGGAAGCAGCACAGGTCCTAATCCAGGCACTTGTCATCTCCCGTCTGGATTACTGCAACTCGCTGTTGGCTGGGCTCCCTGCCTGTGCCATTAAACCCCTACAACTCATCCAGAATGCCGCAGCCCGTCTGGTGTTCAACCTTCCCAAGTTCTCTCACGTCACCCGCTCCTCCGCACACTCCACTGGCTTCCAGTTGAAGCTCGCATCTGCTACAAGACCATGGTGCTTGCCTACGGAGCTGTGAGGGGAACGTCACCTCCGTACCTTCGGGCTCTGATCAGTCCCTACACCCAAACGAGGGCACTGCTACTCCTGGCTGCTCTCTCCTCGTATGGACCATGTGGTTCGCTACCCCGAAGAGCATCTGGTCCTGCGGGGGGTGGTGGCACAGGAATCCTCATCTCTCCCACGTGCGAACATTCTCAATTTTTTCCCCATGACCCATCTGTCTATCTCCTCTTTGAATTCCATTGGCTGTCACAGTCACTAGGCCCATTTAAGCTTAATATTCACTTGTCATATCTATCGCCCTCCAGGTTTCCCTTGGGAGGTTCATCAATGAGCTTGGACGCCTTGATAAGTTCCTTTCCTGCGGATGGCTCACCCCTCACAGTTCTGGGGATTTCAACCTCCACTACCGTCTAAATTTGACCTCATTTCTCTCTGCCTCCTTTCCCCACCTCCTCTCCTCTTTTGACCTCACCCTCTCACCGTCCCCCCCTACTCACAAGGCAGGCAATACGCTTGACCTCATCTTTACTAGATGCTGTTCTTCTACTAATCTCACTGCAACTCCCCTCCAAGTCTCCGACCACTACTTTGTATCCTTTTCTCTCTCCCTCTCCTCCAACACTACTCACTCTGCCCCTACACAGATGGTAATGCGCCGTCGCAACCTTCGCTCTCTCTCTCGCTACTCTCTCCTCTTCCATCCTATCATCTCTTCCCTCTGCTCAATCCTTCTCCCTCCAATCTCCTGATTCTGCCTCCTCAACCCTCCTCTCCTCCCTTTCTGCATCCTTTGACTCTATGTCCCCTATCCTCCCGGCCGGCTCGGTCCTCCCCTCCTGCTCCGTGGCTTGATGACTCATTGCGAGCTCACAGAACAGAGCTCCGGGCATCTGAGCGGAAATGGAAGAAAACTAGACTCCCTGCAGACCTGGCATCTTTTCACTCCCTCCTCTCTACATTTTCTTCATCTGTTTCTGCTGCTGCTAAGGCCACTTTCTACCACTAAATTCCAAGCATCCGCCTCTAACCCTAGGAAGCTCTTTGCCACATTCTCCTCCCTGCTGAATCCCCCCCCCCCCCCTCCTTCTCTGTGGATGACTTCGTCAACCATTTTGAAAAGAAGGTTGACGACATCCGATCCTCGTTTGTTAAGTCAAATGACACTGCTGGTCCTGCTCACACTGCCCTACCCTATGCTTTGACTTCTTTCTCCCCTCTCTCTCCAGATGAAATCTTGCGACTTGTGACGGCAGGCCGCCAAACAACCTGCCCGCTTGACCCTATCCCCTCCACTCTTCTCCAGACCATCTCCGGTGACCTTCTCCCTTACCTCACCTCGCTGATCAACTCATCCTTGACCGCTGGCTATGTCCCTTCCGTCTTCAAGAGAGCGAGAGTTGCACCCCTTCTCAAAAAACCAACACTCGATCCCTCTGATGTCAACTACAGACCAGTATCCCTTCTTTCTTTTCTCTCCAAAACTATTGAGCGTGCCGTCTTTAGCCAACTCTCTTGCTATCTCTCTCAGAATGACCTTCTTGATCCAAACCAGTCAGGTTTCAAGACTGGTCATTCAACTGAGACTGCTCTTCTGTGTCACAGAGGCTCTCCGCACTGCTAAAGCTAACTCTCTCTCTCCTCTGCGCTTGTCCTTCTAGACCTGTCGGCTGCCTTTGATTCTGTGAACCATCAGATCCTCCTCTCCACCCTCTCCGAGCTGGGCATCTCCGGCGCGGCTCACTCTTGGATTGCGTCCTACCTGACCGGTCGCTCCTACCAAGTGGCGTGGCGAGAAGCTGTCTCCGCACCGCGTGCTCTCACCACTGGTGTCCCCCAGGGCTCAGTTCTAGGCCCTCTCCTATTCTCACTATACACCAAGTCACTTGGCTCTGTCATATCCTCACATGGCCTCTCCTATCATTGCTACGCTGACGACACACAACTAATCTTCTCCTTTCCCCCTTCTGATAACCAGGTGGCTAATCGCATCTCTGCATGTCTGGCAGACATCAGTATGGATGACGGATCACCACCTCAAGCTGAACCTCGGCAAGACGGAGCTGCTCTTCCTCCCGGGGAAGGACTGCCCGTTCCATGATCTCGCCATCACGGTTGACAACTCCGTTGTGTCCTCCTCCCAGAGTGCGAAGAGCCTTGGCGTGACCCTGGACAACACCCTGTCGTTCTCCGCTAACATCAAGGCAGTGACCCGATCCTGTAGGTTCATGCTCTACAACATTCGGAGAGTACGACCCTGCCTTACACAGGAAGCGGCACAGGTCCTAATCCAGGCACTTGTCATCTCCCGTCTGGATTACTGCAACTCGCTGTTGGCTGGGCTCCCTGCCTGTGCCATTAAACCCCTACAACTCATCCAGAATGCCGCAGCCTGTCTGGTGTTCAACCTTCCCAAGTTCTCTCACGTCACCCGCTCCTCCGCACACTCCACTGGCTTCCAGTTGAAGCTCGCATCTGCTACAAGACCATGGTGCTTGCCTACGGAGCACTGAGGGGAACGTCACCTCCGTACCTTCAGGCTCTGATCAGTCCCTACACCCAAACGAGGGCACTGCGTTCATCCACCTCTGGCCTGCTGGCTTCCCTACCTCTGCGGAAGCATAGCTCCCGCTCAGCCCAGTCAAAACTGTTCGCTGCTCTGGCACCCCAATGGTGGAACAAGCTCCCTCACGACGCCAGGAAAGCGGAGTCACTCACCACCTTCCGGAGACATTTGAAACCCCACCTCTTTAAGGAATACCTGGGATAGGATAAAGTAATCCTTCTACCCCCCCCCCCCCCAAATAAAATAAATATTTGTAAAGTGGTTATCCCACTGGCTATAAGGTGAATGCACCTATTTGTAAGTCGCTCTGGATAAGAGCGTCTGCTAAATGAAATAAATGTAAATAAATGTTAATCTTTCCCCTCGATCCTGACTAGTCTCCTAGTCCCTGCCTCTGAAAAACATCCCCACAGCATGATGCTGCCACCACCATGCTTCACAGTAGGGATGGTATTGGTTTCCTCCAGACGTGACGTTTGGCATTCAGGCCAAAGACTTCAATCTTGGTTTCATCAGACCAGAGAATCTTGTTTCTCATGGTCTGAAAGTCCTTTAGGTGCCTTCTGGCAAACTCCAAGCGGGCTGTCATGTGCCTTTTACTGAGGAGTGGCTTCAGTCTGGCCACACTACCATAAAGGCCTGATTGATGGAGTGCTGCAGAGATGGTTGCCCTTCTGGAAGGTTCTGCCATCACCACAGAGGAACTCTGGAGCTCTGTCAGAGTGACCATTGGGTTCTTGGTCACCTCACTGTCCCTTCTCCCCCGATTGCACAGTTTGGCCGGGCGTCCACTTCTATGAAGAGTCTTGGTGGTTTCAAACTTCTTCCCTTTAAGAATAATGGATGCCACTGTGTTCTTGGGGACCTTCAATGCTGCAGACATTTTTTGTACCCTTTCCCAGATCTGTGCGTTGACAAAATCCTGTCTCGGAGCTCTACGGACAATTCCTTCGACTTCATGCCTTGGTTTTTGCTCTGACATGCACTGTCAAGTGTGGGACCTTATATAGACCGGTGTGTGCCTTTCCAAATCATGTCCAATCAATTGAATTTACCACAGGTGGACTCTAATCAAGTTGTTTTAACATCTCAAGGATGATCAATGGAAACAGGATGCACCCAAGCTCAATTGAGTCTCATAGCATAGGGTCTGAATACTTATGTAAATAAGGTTTGTTATTTGTGTGTAATACATTTGCAAACATAAAAAAAAACACCTGTTTTCGCTTTGTCATTATGGGGTATTGTGTGTAGCTTGATGAGGAAACATTTTCATTTAATCAATTTTAGAATAAGGCTGTAACGTAACAAAATGTGGAAAAAGGGAAGGGGTCTGAATACTTTCTGAAACAACTTTTAGAAAGCTCATATTCTGCGCTAGCCATTAAAAGTATCGTCCACAGATCTAAGTGAATCTGAACAACCCTTTAACTGGAACAGAGTATGGAAAAATATGACCTTGGCATCCCATAATCCATCAATTTATACATTAAGTTTGTTCAGACTGTATTTAACACCAAGGAAAACTTTTATGATGAAATTGGCCCCACTCCCAAACTGTTCACTGTGTCCCCTAAATCAGGTAGGCACATTCCTTCACATGTGGGAGTGCCCTGCAGTTAATTGCTTCTGGGACAAAGTTACACAATTCATTTCAAAGTGCATGAAGGTAAATATTCAATCTGCTATGTTACTTAACGACGATAGCTCCTTGAATCTCTCAGACGATTACTGCTGGCAGTAAAAGCATCCTCAGTTAACAAGTAACCTTGGATGTTGTAGGGGGGTGGGCACTGACAACTAACCTGTGTTGCAAGACGGGGTGGAAAACATGGTTACATACCAATTTTACTATTACAAAATCCTTTTTGATCAATATAATAATTTCTGTATGTATTTCCTTTTTTTGTGGCAGCCCATGGGTACATGTTATATAAACTGAATATATGAATTAATATTGTACCTGTAAACCCCCCATCAAAGAAAATGACAAAAACAATTCAAACTTGGTCCAAAAATAAATGTGACCCTGCAGGACAGGTGTGCACCAGCATGCAGGTAGAGTAGGACAGCTAGCTCATGTACTATACACTTAGTTCACCTGGCTGTGCGCATCTGCAGCCCCTCAGCCAGGTCAGAACTGGTGGTACTCTCTGTGGCCACGGCGAGGCGACCGACCACTTGGCCCATCTGGTCTGGGAGATCGACCACTTGGCCTATCATCTGGAATACCACCGGAGGCAGAGCCATTTATTTACATGTACGGCTTGGACCAAAGTTATTCAAATCTGCTTGTGACTGATTTAGAGGTTAATCTGATGCTCCGAGTACGTTTCCCTTTCCGCCCAGTACACACTTCTATTCTATACCTTGAGCAGGTTTTAAACTTGCTGAAGCTGTAGTTTCCAATAGTTGTAGTAGTCAAATGGAATACAAATCTAATACAAGTCTTACACATGGATTATTTCCCCATAATTTGCACCACAGAGAGGGATTTTAATAGACATGTCAAGTAATATAGCTTAGAAAGATTTGCCAACAAAAAGCTGTGCTGATTAGAATTTCAAAAGCGATGTCATTCTGTATAACCACACCCCTTTCATAAACCTATACTCCCACTCACCACAGTAAACCGGTATAAAGTTCATTCAGCATGCCCACTTACAAACCTAGTATCTAAGGAATGTGGTAAGACTACTCCCATTGCAGCACTAGTCTGTTTCCATGTGGGCTGGGCACCAGGTAGTATTTTAGACTAACTCCTGTCTTTATAGTGGTTTTAATGCAATTTATGTAGAGTAGCTCACACTTAAATAGTACGAGTAATGATATGGCCCTAGAATGAACCCTCAGTCCTATAGTATTTGATTTGGTAAGTATAGTCTCAGAAGGAGAATCATTAAGTAGACATACATTTCAGGAAGTCCTCTCTGTACTGCGGCTCCTGGCTTGGAGTCTTGTACACGGCAGCAACACCATCAACTACAAAGAGAAGGAAATGCAAAAAATACAAATTAAAAAAATATCATATTTGGATTGTACAATATTGCATGCATGGAAATGTACTTTACAATCTTGAGATTTGTGTTTCGGATACCCCAAAAAAACCTACGTTAATGACTAGGGTGTGTGTTTGTGTAGAACTGCTTTATGTGTGTGGCGTTCTAAGAGAGTTAACTTATCAGCCAATGTAAATATTCAAGGTCACTTGCACCACCACCGGACCTTTGAGTGCCCTCTAATAAAGATCAAGGTGCTCAGACCACTTTACTATTATAACAATACTAGAGGAACCATTTTGTTTTCTTAGGCACTGCAGAGCAAGAAGGAAATTATAAATCACTCAAGGAGCCATTTGAAATTCAGATTATGCTGTGACTGCCCTGTGAAAATGTAATTACTGAAATTTAGCTACAACACAAGGCAAGCCCATATTTCCTCAGCAACCACCTAACTATGTTGTTTGGGCGTTTGGTGGGGGTCTGGGGGAGTGGTGGGGTCGATATTCTTGTTTTTGAACTAATACCATTCCAAGTATTTTCCCAAATGAGATCAGTGGGGAGTTTCATGTTGATTGACTCACCTTTCACACTCGTTCTCCTTTTAGCTTCATCCAGTTGGCAGAAAGGCATTTTGTTCACTGAAAGAGGAACAATTCTGGTTGAGTAAATATGCTCTTTAAGAATTTACTGAAACATTTCCAAGTTCATGGTTTTAAAAAGATCAAAAGCCTGGGGTTTAATCTAGCTCTAGGATCTACATAATTCATTCAGCATTGGCAGTAACTGACTGAAGTTACAGTGCATTATCTCACTGCCTCACCAGCCTTGGCCACTTTGACCAGCTCCTCATTGCTGATGTCATGGAGATGGATCTTCATCTCAGAGACAGCCTTGGTGACGGGGCCGAAGGAGAAGTAGGGGTTCACTGAGACTGTGGGCAGCTCCTCAGCCTCCGTCTGGGCGATCAGCATGTGGTAGCTCTACAGAAGACAGGAGACAGTTCGATGTGGGAATGGATGAGGACAGACACACCCTCTTTTCAATGACACATTCCTCATTTGAATTGGCTCGGGTCATTTCCTTGCTTCATAGCCCAATTATAGACAGGTTGGTTGTTTAGCAACAAAACCGACTTGTGCACAACAATGGGTCAAAACAGACTGGGTTGGCTTAGATTGTTGACATGTACATTATTTAGTCTCCACAATTGTCTCAAATGCATCATTACATTGTTGGTTAGCTAGCGAATCTTTGCCATATTAGCATAGACGTGACATCAAAGCAAGACATGGTATCCAGAATAAAGATAAAACTAGCCAGCTACGAGTCCCCACATTGCAGCTTCTTGTCATTGTTGCTTGCCATCTGGCCATCCAGAATCACAATAACACACGGCCTTCTGCTCCATTGTAGCCTAGCGGTTAAGAGCATTAGGCCAGTAACCGAAATGTTGCCAGTTCAAATCCTGAGCCAACTAGGTGACAAATCGGTCAATGTGCCCTTGAACAAGGCACTTAACCCAAATTGTGCCTGTAAGTCGCTCTGATGAGAGCATCTGCTAAATTACTAAAATGTAAATGTTTTTGTGACGTTGTCTAACCTATCTATGAATTCTGGTTATGTCGGGGTGATGAGCTGGGCGGGCCACTCAAAAATGATGTATAGTTTTAAAATAGCTTGTGTCATTCCTTGGCTTGAGCCCAAATATTATCGTTGTTGTTTTAGGGTGAGGGGTGTTAGACTTTTTAAAGGCCGAGGGTACTTAGCACCTCTGAACGTCATTTACAAACCGAGCGCTCACAGATTTGACATGCGTGTCAAATTGTCAGTCAGACGTCTACAGACGGTGGTCCCTAAAACAAAGTGCACTGAACAATCGGAAGACAAATGCTGGATCCACAGTCGGTGCGATGTGCGAGCCTTTAGTCACCTGGATGAAGTGGATGTGGTCCTCCGTGCGTGACAGCTGTGTGATCTCGTTGTCTCGCTTCTTGAGGTCAGCGATCTCGTGGGTCAGACGCTCTAGGTGACCCTCAGCGTTGTTCAGCGCTGCCCTCTTATTGGAGGAGATTAGCTTGGTCATTTCCTGTTGCATCCTCTCGATGGAACGCATCATGTCACCAAACAACTTCTCACACTCCTGCATAGCCCTCTGGGCTGAGCTCTGGAGAGGAAAGGGGCACACTTAAATGGGCATGCTGTTAAAATCTCTGTTAAGCATTTTGGGTTGTGCCAATACACCCAGGTGGTCAGTCATAATGGAATGATATTGGTGATGTATTGATATTTGGGATTAGGGAATCTCTTGGTGGGAAAATAGAATTTGTCTATCCAGGACACACATTAGAAATATGCACTGTGAGTACATCTACAGTATGTTTAGTATGACTTAACAGTACATTGTAATTGTGTGATTTCACAACCTACTGTATTTTCGGTGTTCTAGAGACATGTACCTTGAGTGAATCCACAGCTTGTTTCAGCTCCTCCATCTGCTTAAGCCTCTCATGGATCCTCTCCTGGATCTCTGCCTGGGTGGCACCCAGACGTTGCTGTGGATGGAGGACACAGGACGTCAGTGACATAGCCCCACAAGTCAGACAGTCGTTTCCAAAATATTCCATATACTGAGCAACCCAAATGCTACAGACAGAAATCAAGGCTGAGTGAAGTGGCGTCTTTTTCCTCCCCATTCACGTAATTTTAAAATGGCCTTCAATATGCATTATTATAATGTGCATTAGGTTCAGACAATACAGTAATATAATCTAGCCAGCATGAGTAGTAGTTCTTGGAAGAGAGGTTTGGTTGCAACGCCCCACCCCACACACATTTACAGCAACTACTTTCACTCATGTGTGTGGGTCTAACTGATCGCCTGAAGTATTTGTTTTAGGGGCTTGGCTGATACTAGCTACTCTATTCCAACAATCAACCTGTCGCTCTCAGTCACACAACTGCAGTCAATGGGCTACAGAAACCTTATGGTTTTGAAGAGGCAAATTATTGAAAAGCCTAGAAAAAACATCCCCGGCCCCCACCCCCACCCCACCCAGTTACACAAATTGCTTTGTCATTTAACAATACAGAATGTAAACTACTTCAAAGCGACATAACGTTTTTTATTTATCATGCAAAGCAGTTTTACCTGTTCTTCTGACCTCTCCTGTTCAGCAGATACCATGTCGTGACCTTTGTGCTCCTTCACGGTGCACAGAACACAGATACACATCTGGTCAGTCTTGCAGAAGAGCTCCAGACCCTTCTGATGCTGGGGGCAAATCTGCCTGTCCAGGTGGCCGATCTCATCCACCAGCTTGTGCCTCTTGAAGGCAGGGTTCTCATAGTGGGGCTTTAGATGCCTCTCACAGTAGGATGCCAGGCACATCAAGCATGTCTTGATGGCTTTGTGCTTCTTCCCAATACAGATATCACATCCCACATCTTGCGGTCCGGCGTAGTTGTAGTCTGGGTCTGGAGGTGGAGGAGGGTAGGCCTCGGACATCCTGGGATGGGAGTGGGTCGAGTGTGAGGAGGAGCGGGAGGTCTGGTGGCGGCGCGGGGTGGGTCTCTTGTTGTAGGTGACCCGACACTGTGGACAGTTGTAGGAACCGGTGTGGTCAGCGTGGTCCCAGTAGGTCTTCAGGCAGATGGAGCAGAAGATGTGGCCGCACGGGATGGAGACTGGGTCCCTCAGGTCTTCCTTACACAGATGGCAGATCTCCTGGTCAGTAGACATGGGGCTGGACAGACGCAGCCTGGTTCTATTAGGCTCTTGGTAGAAGTAGGCTAAAGACAAAGTGAGACTTAAATATTCGGTCTGTCCTGTCCGTCAGGTCTGAGGCAAAGTGAGTCACAGGTGCTTCCGCAGCATGTTATATAGAGTAATCAGTCAGGGAGGGAAGGAAACTAAACTGGTTAAGCAGAAACTAGTAAAAAGTGGGTGGGGCCAGGTGAGGACAGAATGTAAATGGCACCACCCATCAATCAGGAAGAGGAGCGTGAATACTAAAAGTGAGAGGAATGATTGAAACTTGTGACCTCAGGATGCAACTTTGTTTTGACAGTACTGCAAATAGATACTGTAGTTACAAATGTGGTTTCCATCATTTCCAACAGGGACTCTACCCCAGACATAGCTCACATTTTGACCCTTATGTATTTGTTTATGCAGTGCAATATTTTTATTTAACGTGATATAAAACACGGTTCACTGCACACAGTTAAGATAAATGTCACATTGAATTTCCCTGCACATCTAATAATTAAGACAAAAAACAAAAACAAGTCACACGACTTCATATCTAATGAAGTACCAACATCAGTTGTATACAAGTGATTCGTTTCTTTAATAAGTCACACTGCAAAAGGGTAAACTTTTGGCCTAACCTACTAAATGACAAGATAATATCTCAGGTTATGGGAAGTGGTTTGTCAAATTTTTTAAAATACAACTGTTTCAATACTAAAAACAAAGGACAAGAATCAGCAGTTGGCGTTGCCTTTTTATCAACACCACAATTACAAAATATGCCATTAGAATCTTTACCATTAACTCACAATAAAGTTTGCAGAGGTTACTTGAAAATGTTTTGAAGTAAACTTACAAATACGGCATCTTTACTTTCACACTAGTTCTAAAGTCTTGCCCAAAGTATCCATCAACACCTAGACAATGGCAAAATATGTTAGATACATTATATACACAATTTCCATCATACAAGTAGATTTGCAGATCAGTTAATACCTACCTTCAACATGACAACAGAATCTCAGGTAAGATGGCTTTCAAAATGGCTGATTCCGTTTCCTTTTTATAGGGTTACAGAGGAATTCATTACTGCCACTTAGTGGTAGACCTCTAACAAGGTCCTACCTGTTACAATATTTTAAACATGAAACACATTCTTCTAAAATGCATTATAATTTTAAATGTACTTTCTGTCAGTTCATGGAAACAAAAAAGATCAATGACCATTTATCTCAAATGTCATAGGGAATAAATATTTTTTGCTCAGGGGGCATGGGGTGGGGGCATGTTTTTGCATGTAAGAATTGTCCATAGTGAGATGAATCTGAATCTGTCAACATCGTCACTGATAAATGTGGCCCCTAATTCAGGAGTTTGGCTTCAGAGTATTGCTGCTGGTTGATAGCATCCAGCCTGTAGTGAGGGCATGGCTGTGGGGAAGGGTTGATGTGATGGATGCCCACTCTGGCCCAGGTACACACTGACCTCTTGGCACAGAGAGGCAAAGCCTGGCTGCAAATCAAAGAGGGGAGGGTAAAGAAGACTTATCTTTAGAGTGACTAAAGACAGAACTATTCCCCTCGCCCTTCCGCTATAAATAATGTAGGCTGGTTGTTTATTTTCACAACATTTCACACCTTTTAGTAACGTGCAGATCTGTTGGGTTAACTACAAGATACTTCAGGAGAGTTATCTGTCAAGTGTTGTGCAAAACTGTATTGTCAGGGCCTAAGATTTTGAGTAAAATATGATTTCCTCAGGGTTAGAAATCTAGTTTTGTGAAATGTGTCATTTTACTTTTAGCTTCATTGACTCTCACACTCCACTGAGCCACTGGAATCTGGCTTGAGCAACAGGAAGGGACTTGCAATAGGTGTTCATCGTCCTGCTATGCAGTTGAGAGCAGTTAATTATCAACTGTTCATTTCCCATTTCCCTTCCACTCATTTCCTCTCAATCCAAATCTTGATTCCAATTGGAATTATTTATTAATTTTTTATGCAAAAGAGCTGAGCGATATCAACATTGTAGGCAAAAAAAATGCTAACTTTTCCTCCATATTTCTCTTCTTCACATCAGCCTAAAGACTCCTCCGTCTATTCCAATATGGCTGTCAGCTTGTCAGCTCTGTGGTTTCAGGGTTGTTAAAAATGAAGAATGGAATGTGACCAGGCCAGATGGCCTAGATAACACCAGGGTCAAAAGGGGCTGCTTAAAGAAAGTCCATTGTGTTAGTCAGAGCATAGTGGCTATATTCTACACACATGATGTCATTGTTATGGGGTCTGCAAGTCATCCTAAACAAGTACTGTAGCTGACATGCTACTCACAAAATGTCCAGTGTAATATTTGACGAGATGGTTGCAAGAGATTATTGCACAAGAGTTGATGTGGTCAGTTTTTTTGCGCTGTAGAATGTAGGTAGAGGTTGAACTCTCTTGTCAATTGACACTGCAGTAGATTTAACCTGAAATGGCCCCAGGGCCAGGGAAATTACAACATGATGAATATTTGCCAAGCAATTCATCTTATTAGTTCTAGATATTTAAAAAACAGATTCTTTACAACTCTCTAATTCTAAGTTTGGGTTTTCAGCTGAAGTATCTGATAGTTTTAGGAGAAGCCCTGACATTTTTGTAGCTGGCTCACAGCAGTAGTGCTGTTACAATTATCAGGTCTGTATATCTGTGAGTCTTGCACACACAAAACAGAAGACAACAATGCAATGCTTTATTTATTGGTTGGATTGACTCTGTACTTCAAATACACAGGGTATACCAAACATTAGGAACACCCCCCAACCCCCTTTTGCCCAATTCGTCGGGGCATAGACTCTACAAGGTGTCGAAAGCGTTCCACAGGGATGCTGGCTCATGATGACTCCAATGCTTCCCACAGTTGTGTCAAGTTGGATGAATGTCCTTTGGGTGGTGGACCATTCTTGATACACACGGGAAACTGTTGAGCGTGAAAAATACAGCAGCGTTGCATTTTTTGACACAAACCGGTGCACCTGGCACCTATTACCATACCCCGTTTAAAAGCACTTCAATCTTTTGTCTTGCACATTCACCCTCTGAATGGCACACATACACAATCCATGTCTCAATTGTCTCCTCCTCCCCTTCATCTACACTGATTGAAGTGGATTTAACAGGTGACATCAATAAAGGATCTTGTTGTTCAACATGCTGAACTGATGATGACAACGGAAACACATGATTGACATATCACCTGTATCCACCTGGTCAGTCTATGTCATGGAAAGGTCAGGTGTTCTTAATATTTTGTATACTCAGTGTAAATGAAGAGTCGTGATGAGCTTCAGAGGACATACAATTCCATTGCCAATGACAATACAGAGCCAGCTAACAGACAACTGGACTGTAAAAGCATATGACTAACGAACATACAAGCCCCTGAAGACAGCTCCATATCAGAAGGACCTAAGTTTAGTTCAGTTAAGGACAGTCTCCAATAAGACAATCAAGTGTTGTGATTCAATATCAATATCATATCACACCCTTTATAATTGACAGACAGGTGGTCTTTCAAATGAATGTGACTGTGTAGTCAAAGTTAGTTAGTTCAGTTGCACTTAAAGTGAACCATGACACTATAAAAGCCTTGGCACATTCAATAAAGATCTGTTTATAGGGAGGCAGTTATGTTGGCCCTTTCTTCTTCTGTGGTTTATTTCCACAGGATGTAGCTGTAGTGAATGAAGCAGGATGACTGGACTAGCACAGTTGGGATCCTGCTGTAATGCATCACTATCATCTGGCTCACCTGACTCACTCTGCTTGTTGTTCAACATGCTGAACTGATGATGACAACGGAAACACATGATTGACATATCACCTGATTGTTTATCTAACAGAGAGTGGTGTTCATATGGACTCACTGGTTGCTCTCATACATTTACATGCAGAGCCAGTGTTAAATCTACAACACACATTTGCATAATATGTTTCTGTCTAAAGTACCACACAAATGTCATAAAAAATTATATTTAGTCCTCAACCACAACAACAATTGTCCCTTTTCGCCCCTATTTGTTGTGGAGGTCTGTTTTACAGTGTGCAGCAGCAACCTGTTCCCTGCGATCTGGCCCCTGTCCAGACTCCTCCTCCCTAACCCTGTGTATCTGCCAGCCAGCACTAACAAAGGTAACCATTGTTCCAAGGCACACTTGTAAATACCTTGTCTGTCTCCGTATTCTGACCAATCACACACAGACACAGCCGGGTCCTTGACTTCTAGCTTGCGTCTCAAATGGCAGCCTATTCCCTACATAGTTCACTACTTTTGACCAGCACCCTATGAGCCCTGGTGCACTCTATAGGGAATAGGGATACATTTGGGAAGTATTCCTACACTCACACAGCCATTTGTATTTTCTTACTCACTGACTCTCCACAACATCATCCCCTGACTGAAACCTCCTGGTTACCCCCGGTTACCCCTCACTACACCTGACACAATAAAATGTTTGGTTTAATTAATGTTGACCTTTCACCTTGTAGACTGTAGGGTTTTAAGCCTGATTGATCAAAAGACATGTTTATAGCAGACATGCATTTATGACAACAGAACTGCTTCCTCACAATTCAATAACTTTGAGTGATGGGCATTAGGCTTTGAGTTTATTAAGTACATTGCAAGAGATTGCACCAGGCCTTGTGCATTGCTTTTCATAAAAATGGGAAGTGTCTGTACCTAATCAGATGAGCCTAACTTGTATACCTGTGTGTTGTTACTGTATAACTAGATGTTTTTCTTACATAAATCAAGACCATGCATTTGGCAGCGTATGACCCTTTCCCTCATAGGCCAACCCTCTCTCTCTCTCTCTCTCTCTCTCTCTCTCTCTCTCTCTCTCTCTCTCTCTCTCTCTCTCTCTCTCTCTCTCTCTCTCTCGTTAATCAGTAAGGAAAACAGAGGGCTGCTTTTACTCTGGATAGGCCAACTTTCCTGGTATCTGATCCACACAAACAAAAGAGGAAGGAAGAGAAACTGGCTTATCAGAAACCTGACCAAATATGGAGAGAGGCGAAACTATCTCTGAAGTGCAATGAGATATGCGATGAGGGAGGAGTTGCATATGCGGCCTTGCGCAAACGGTTGGTGCATATGTTTCGGTGGCCCTGTGATTTAAATAATTGTAACATACTGTACATTTAGTATGCCTATCAACTCTTCTGGAATAAGATAATTCAGCAAACCATTTTACCTCTAAGGTCCACTACCTCACACATTACTTTGTGGCTACAGGGTAATGAGTTTCTCCTATAGGCCCTCTTTAGTGAACTAGTGAGAGAGAGAAATGTGCACTAAAGTATGGCCACACCCTTGGCCCAAGAGGAAACCAAGGTTACATTGAAATGCAAATGAGCTAGTCCGTGATGTCATAATTGATCCAGAATTCTAGGGAGAGTGGGCCATCCCACTGGGCACAGATGTTAATTCAATGTCTATTCCATGTTGGTTCAACGTCATTTCATTGAAACAATGTTTATTCAACCAGTGTGTGCCCAGTTGAGCATTGTGCCAGTAAGCGAAAGGTCGCTGGTTCTAATCCCCGAGCCAACTAGGTGAAAAATCTGTCGGTGTGCCCTTGAGCAAGGCACTTAACCCTAATTGCTCCTGTAAGTTGCTCTGGATAAGAACGTCTGCTAAATGACTAAAAAAATTTTTAAAAATGTATTTAAAGCGGAAATCAGCAGTTGAAACAATAACAAAGCATCCTCCCGGCCCTTTTCGATAAAAAGCTGAGGGATGGGCTTGGAGAAATGTATCAAATAAAAAAGAAATATCAGCAACTCTGGTATGCTCCCATGATGATTTAATCAGACACACACAAAAAGACACCGTTTCGATCTGAGTTGGATCTTCGTCAGGTCATAGACAAATTAATAGACAGAGCTATGGATGCAAGGACTGACCATCCATGATATCAGAAATAGTTTTAACCATATTTTGAGGCTATATAGTGTTTGTTTACGTTTACTTTGTTTACAAACATTGTAGTACAACAAGCTTATATTTGGGGTTCTGGTGGGGTATGACAGCTGAACTAAGCTCATGAGGCATTTATAAGTTATATTCTTCAAGTATCAATGGGTACATATAATTAATTTATAATTCCAAAAACGTATGTAGCAACTGCAGATTAACCCTTTAAAGGCTGACTCTTTAAAGCCTTTGTAATATTACAAAATAACAGCCTGTCATGGGAGAAAGAGGATAGGATGTTACTTGACAATAGAGAAACCAAGGTGTGTCTCTTGAAAGATGGACTCTGCTGGTTATAGACTACAGCCAATAAAGACACAGCATATGTTTATACTGTACATGCTAAATACTAAAGTAACAAGGGTCCTTAAGTCATGGGTTAGATGTGCATTTTTACTTGGCACAATATCATAAAAATATATGAAGCATTCAGATCGACATCAGACAGATAAACCTGTAAGAGATAAGAATGTTTTGTCAAAAAATGTTTCCGTGATTGCAATGTTCTCTTTTGGCTGCCTCTAGTGTTTGACACGCATCATATCTACTGTTACTACTTCAGTGGAGGCTGCTGAGGGGAGGATGGCTCACAATAATGGCTGGAACGGAGCGAATGGAATGGCATCAAACACATGGAAACTGTGTTTGTTGTATTTGAAACCATTCCACCATTGCGCCATTACCACGAGCCTGTCCTCCCCAATTAAGGTGCCACCAACCTCCTGGGATTCACCTGTAGGGGCAGTTAGACTAGTTCAACAGGCTGCAGTTTAAATATATAGAATAACTTCTGTCCTGATCTCCAACTGCTCTTTGTCAAAACACCTGTGGCAGGCAGTTCAAACAGTGACAGATACCGCTGTTTGTTTTGGGTCACAAAAGGTAGAAAAATACATTTGAAATGTATCCTGTCCTGTTCGTGGTGGGAGCAGGTTTGTTTGTTCAGTGGGTGGACTCCAGCCCCTTCAAAACCTGATCTTCTACTAAATGTGCATTTGTGTCTATTTAGCTGCATGTTATGTAGGGCCTATGACATCTATAACTCTGTTCACAGTTCCAGTTGAGTTTGAGAGTGAAAATGGGAAAGACTATTTATATTTGCCGTACAGCAGTCTCTGATCAGCACACAAAACTTCCGAGCTAATAAAAAACAATGATTAACTGATCCAGCCTGCAGTGTAGTTTATTCACTATCAAGTCAAATACAGTTCAAATAAAATAGAATCAGACCAAACACTGAAACCAAAAAGAGATTTTTTTGCAGCAGCAGTTGGTGCCTCCCTGTGTTCTACAATTCATTCATTCTCCCTGCCTCAGCCTATCCCCTGTTTTCTATCTTCTTTCATCCCGCCCCCTCGCTCTCTCCCCCTCCCTTTAAGTCTCCTACAGCCTTTGCTCGACCTGTTTATCTGAACTGGGCTGAGCTCTACATACTCTCAGGGAGCACAGGGGGAGAGCCTGCTTTCAATCAATAACCTCTGGAATTCAGAAATACAAGTAGGTCCTGTCTCTGGCAGGCTCTGCCACACTCTTGTGGACGGCGGACTCCCTAGTGCACTGGTTAGATCCCTCTGTGGATTCCTCTCTCTGTCTGCCTCTCTCTCTCTCTCTCTCTCACATATACACTCTCTCTCTCTCTCACTCTCTCTCTCTCTCCCTCTCTCTCTTTCTCTCTCTCTCTCTCTCGCTCTCTCTCTACAGGTCTGAGGAGTGTTTGTGTAGTGTAGTGAGTAGTGACGATGGCTGATCCCATGTCTTCGGATTACTTCAGCTGCCCACTGTGTGTGGGGCTGCTGAGGGACCCCGTGGCTATCCCCTGCGGACACAGTTTCTGCATGGACTGCATCAGCGGCTACTGGAATGAGGCAGACTACACAGGGATCTACATCTGCCCCCAGTGTAAGATCACCTTCACCCAGAGGCCTGTGCTCAGGCCCAACACTATGCTCACCAAGGTGGCAGAGAAGATCAAGAAGACTGGTGCCAACCTCAACCTGAACCTCACGCCCCCGGGGAACACCTTTGCCGGGCCTGCCGACGTGCCCTGTGACTACTGCTCTGGGAAGAAGCTTAAGGCTGTTAAGTCCTGCCTGAACTGCCTGGCCTCATACTGTGAGAAGCACCTGAAGCCTCACTACGAGTCGGCCACATTCAAAAGGCACAAGCTGGTGGACGAGCTGGGGAACCTGGACAGAAAGATCTGCCCCCAGCACCAGAAGTCCCTGGAGCTGTTTTGCCGGACCGACCAGATGTGTATCTGTGCCATCTGTACTGTCAGTGAACACAAGGGACATGACATCGTCTCAGCCGAGGCAGAGAGAAGTGAGAAACAGGTAAGGAGTGGAGACATGTTTCGTTCTATCTGAGTGTCAGGCTTAACTGTGAGTTTTATGGGAGTAGCCCAGACCTTGACTTGTAGATTTACAATGTTTCACAGAATGATTTGTTATTTTGAAATCAAAATATGAATCATTGAAACTGAAATCAAAAGTGTGATGTGAGGACACCTGGCATACTTTACATACAATGTAAAGAACTTGTTCAGTTGGTCATATGGCAGAAACCAGTACAATGATAGCATACATCCCAAAGGTACAAGGCACAGTCACTTTAACTGTGTGTTCTAGAACTGACTCAAAGGTAAACTGACTAATGGTTTATTCACCAACACTTCCTTCCCTCCTAAAGAACCACATTTCTCTCAGTGAGCTAACAGAACTAGGTAGTTAGTCAGAGGGGAGATACGGGACAGGGATGTGAGTGAGGGGCCAGTGGATTGTGGTGGTGCATGTTGATGATCCAGGAATGTGGGTTTAGGCAGACGTGTAGTATTTGCAACCCCCACCCTCACTCCTCCACCCACCGCCACCACCCCTGCAACGTTTGTACTTTGACCCAGCTAGCTCACCAACCAGCCAGCGTTACCACCCACTCCTACAGGGCAGGCACACTCACACTCACACAGCCAAAACAAGTACAACTCTCTGATTAGCTGTAAGGTTGATAGAGGAATGTGTTCTTAATCTGTGGTAAAAACTCCTTTAAGGCTTGTGGTGTTCCAGCTGTGCTTGCTGGTGGGATGAGATACACAATGTTCCCGATCCGATCATCATGTTCCCGGCTTCCAAACAGGGGTCTCAAGTCCCGGGAAGACCCAAATACACCAAAGGCAGACCCAGGGTTTCTAGCCTAGAGTATTTGGGGCTATATTATTACAGAAACTAGAGATTGAACTTTGAAACCCACCTGTGGGAAGGGGCTGGGTTTAGGCCTGGTAGTGGGAGTGGGGATGGTGGAGGTGGTGATAATGGAATGCAGTTGTACCAGAATGCAGACTGAGTCAAGGCCTTGTCTAACCACATGTCCTGTTTATGATGAACAAACCATTGACCTGACCATGACCAGCCACTGCATCCAAATCGGTCTCCATTCGAATGGACTGCCAGAATTGTGGGTCTAAAAGCTACAGTTTTTAATACATTTATATCAAAGACATTTATATGACATCATCGTAATACTGTGAAGCAAAGCTTTTTACAAACGCTGTAATTCAGCCTTTCTGTTGTTGCTAAATGGGGAGACTGGTTCCTCTCATCCCCAGATTTACAACCTGACTCTCCTCTCCCATGGCTTCACTCCTTCTGTTTCACGCTCCCCTCCCTCACTCCCTCCCTCTCTTCCCCCAATCCCCTCTCCCCAGATTCCCCACATTCCTTGAGCTTATCTTGAAGAATGGGTCGGTAGGTTTTGAGTAAAGGCTGAATTAGAAGCTCTTTCTCTCTCTCCTCTCTATACTGTATAGGCCAGTATGTGTGCACCTTGAAACATCTCTTTAGAAGTCAGGCATACAGCGGTAGTTTCACATTCCTGGCATGGTCAGGATTCCATTAGGCTATTTTTTCCCCTCCTTCTGAGATAAAGCCGCCCATACTAAGTAGATCTTTAGAGCTATGCTTGTTATGGGAAAAAAAGCACTATTACTCTCATAGTATAATCGCATCGTTGTCACATAAGATACTACGTTTTTTTACTTAATAAAGAGAGACAAAAAACGACTTATTAACTAATAACAGTATGAGAAATAAGATCTTAATTGTAGAGTACAACATAAAAGCATGCAGTACACTGTCACTGTTTACCACAAATAAACCATTCAGTGACATTACATAATCAAGCCCAAGTTGGAAGGGATAGCAAATCTAATGATACTAATCGTGAACTGAATTACATGCAAGGCCATTAAATACTCACTCACAGGAGGCTGCTGAATGGAGGATGGCTCAAAGTAATGTCTGGAATGGAGTAAATGGAATGGTATCCAACACATGAAAAACGTGTTTGATGTGTTCGATACCATTCCATTGATTCCGTTCCAGCCATTACTATGAGCCCGTCCTCCCCAATTAAGGTGCCACCAGTGACTCACTTGTAAGAGGTATTGTGTTGATGATTCTGTGGTGTCACCTCAACAGAAACTCCTGGGAGTTGCTCAAGCTGAGATCAGACAGAAATGTCAGGATAGGGTGAAGGAGCTGGAGGAACTGAGGACAGCAGTGGACTCATTAAAGGTAAGGAGAAAATGTATTGAAAACATTGTCTGATGAAACACTTCTATTTCATACACTAACTCATAACTGCTATGTCATGTTCAATTTTTAAAAACACGTTAGAAATCATTTTCTTGTTAAACTACATTCCTGATTCCCAATTAAAGCAGAGAAATGTAAATCAACCTCATGTGTGATGGCCTCTTGCAATGATGACTGTGTCTTCTCTAGAAATGTACATCTAGCTCATGTGTGTACGCCTCTTGACCTATGAACTGCGTTGTCCTGTCCAGAACTCAGCCCAGAGGGCCATGGCGGAGAGTGAGAAGATGTTTGAGGACATGATCCGCTCCATCGAGAGAATGAGGTCAGAGGTGACCAAGCTGATTGGCATCAACGAGAAGGCTGCGTTCAACCAGGCCGAGGGGCTGGTGGAGAGGCTGGAGCAGGAGATAGACGAGCTGAAGAAGAAGGAGACGGGACTCAAACAGCTGTACAGCACGGAGGACCACATCCACTTCCTACAGGTGAGACAGAGGACTACATACATTTACATACTGTACATACTGTATGTTCTGGACATTCTGCAGTCCATACTGTACATTCACTTGTTATGGTGGTCAGGGGGATATCCACCAAAATTGTAAAGTGCAAGAAAATTCTATCTGTAAAAGGTTCAATATTGCAATTTGTGTTTGGTCCATCCTTTAGAAAAGGACTATGATATTAAGCAGCAATCAAAGTCATGGATCTCAACAATATGTTCCTCTGCTGCTTGTTCATTATTAGTCCTTGAACATGCTTATTTGAGGACACTCATGATTATCTTTCTTTTTCTGCAGAACTTCAACTATCTGTGTACTCCCACGGATGATGGCTTTATCCCCAGAGTGTCGGTGAACCCAGACTTCTCGTTCGGAGCAGCCAGGAAAGCTGTGGCTGAGATCAAGGATCGTCTGGAGGAGCTGGGTAGAGAGGAACTCGTGAAGATCTCCAAGTCAGGTCAAAACAACATACCTAGCCTCCATTTCCAGTCTTTCACATGTCATATTTCAGAAGCAATTGTCTGACCTGTGAGACTAGAACACATACAACCAGTGTCTAACTGACCACCTTATACACAGTATATCTGAAATTCTGTTAACAGTAGCCAAGACACTCAATGTTTTGTTGATTACCTTTTCTATTGCCTCCCACAGTGAACGAGGTCCCTGTTTATACGACAGAAAAGAGAGAGAGAAGCAGCAGAGGTGAATCTTGTGATCAGTGTATCTATGATGTTTGTTCATTGTGTAAAGTTAGATAACACACTAGCAAATTAAAACATTTAAATGGTTTGGGAGGTGAAGGCCTATGAAGACGTTCAATGCTGTGGCTTTGAATAGACAATGAGACATTGTCTTCTATTTTCACCTTCTAGTCAAAGAAGTAATGACAGTGGATAGCCCTCCTCCACCAGAGCCCAAGACCAGATCAGAGTTTCTGAAATGTAAGTACATATCTGTTCAATTAGCACCTACTCTCAAACCTGGTCCCAGATCTGTTTGTGCTGTCTTGCCAACTCCTATAGTCAATGTTTGGCATGACAGTACAAACCAGATCTGGGACCAGGCCTATTATCTCTTCATAAACCTGTTTTGACTCATAAACCTGCATCACACCCATTTGACTTCCATCCCTCCCTCAGACTTCTGCCAGCTGAGACTGGACCCCAGCACAGCCTACAAGGAGCTACACCTGTCGGACAGCAGCAGAAAGGTGATCCGAACCAGGGACCTCCAGCCCTACTCGGACACCCCGGAGAGGTTTGACAGCTTCGCCCAAGTGCTGTGTCGCGAGGCCCTGTCCGGTGGCCGCTTCTACTGGGAGATCGAGTGGAGCGGGGAGTTCTCCATGGGGGTGGCCTATAAGGGAATCAGCCGCAAGGGGAAAGGATCACTGTGTCTGCTGGGCTATAATGATAAGTCCTGGAGCCTGCTGTGTTCTGATACAGGGTACTCAGCTTGGCACAACAGGGTGGATAAAGCCATCAATGCGCCCCATTCACCGAGGATAGGGGTCTACCTAGACCACTCGGCAGGGGTCCTGGCCTTCTTCAGTATAGGCAACCATATGACTCTCCTGCACAGGTTCGAAACCATGTTTGTGGAGCCCCTCTATCCTGGCTTTGGAGTTGGAACCTCGGTCAAGATCTGTCAACTCAAATGAACACTAACATGTGCCTCTTATTCCTTGACGAAAAAGAACGTTTCGGTTTATTTTCCACATGGTGCCCTATGAATCATTTGTAGTTTGTTTTGTTTTTATTTGAGACTGACTGTGCCACATTGCTCCGTCAAAGACTTCTATTTTATGCATTTTCTAAACATTTGGATGAGCAGAGGTCCTAATAATTACATTGTATGTAAACATATAACCTTAACCTTTATCCGACATCAAGTATTCTTTATCTAATGGTATTTTAGAAAAACTAGTATCTACATGGCCAACTAAATGTTTGTACTGTATGTAACAGTTAGCTTTTTATGACTAGAATAACTATTTTCAATAAAGATGAAATTACTACTCATATGTACTTTTGTATGTGTGTGCGTATTACACACACATACAAAAGTATGTGGACACCCCTTCAAATTAGTGGATTCGGCTATTTCAGCCACACACGTTGCTGACAGGTGTATAAAATTGAGCACACAGCCATGCAATCTCAATAGACAAACATTGGCAGTAGAATGGCCTAACTGAAGAGCTCAGTGACTTTCAACGTGGCACCGTCATAGGAAGTCAGTTCGTCAAATTTCTGCCCTGCTAGAGCTGCCCCGGTCAACTGTAAGTGCTGTTATTGTGAAGTGGAAACATCTAGGAGCAACAACGGCTCAGCCGCAAAGTGGTAGGCCACACAAGCTCACAGAATGGGACCGAGTGCTGAAGCGCGTAGCGCGCAAAAATCGTCTGTCCTCGGTTGCAACACTCACTACTGAGTTCCAAACTGCCTCTGGAAGCAACGTCAGCACAACATTTTTTGTCGGGAGCTTCATGAAATGGGTTTCCATGGCACACAAGCTTAAGATCACCACGCGCTATGCCAAACGTCAGCTGAAGTGGTGTAGAGCTCGCTGTCATTGGACTCTGGAGCAGTGGAAACGTGTTCTCTGGAGTGATGAATCACGCTTCACCATCTGGCAGTCCGACGGACAAATCTGGGTTTAGCAGATGCCAGGAGAACGCTACGTGCCCTAATGCATAGTGCCAGCTGTAAAGTTTAGTGGAGGAGGAATAATGGTCTGGGGCTGATTTTCATGATTGGGGCTAGGCCCCTTAGTTCCAGTGAAGGGAAATCTTAACGCTACAGCATACAATGACATTCTAGACGATTCTGTGCTTCTAACTTTGTGGCAACAGTTTGGGGAAGGCCCTTTCCTGTTTCAGGATGACAATGTCCTCTGTGCACAAAGCGAGGTCCATACAGAAATGGTTTGTCGAGATCGGTGTGGAAGAACTTCACTGGTCTGCACAGAGCCCTGACCTCGACCCCATGGAACACCTTTGGGATGAATGGGAACATCGACCGCGAGCCAGGCCTAATCGCCCAACATCAGTGCCCAACCTCAGTAATGCACGTGGCTGAATGGAAGCATGTCCCCCGCAGCAATATTCCAACATCTAGTGGAAAGCCTTCCCAGAAGAGTGGAGGCTGTTATAGCAGCAAAGGGGGGACCAACTCCATATTAATGCCCATGAGCTTGGAATGAGATGTTCGACAAGCAGGTGTCCACATACTATTGGTCATGTAGTGTATATATATACAGTATATACAGTATATTCCGGTTTCTGACATTGCTCGTTCTGATATTTCTGAATTTCTTTAATGGCTTTATTTTTCTGGATTATGTGTGTATTGTGTTTTTTGTTGTTGTTGTTGTTGCTAGGTATTACTGCACTGTTGGAGCTAGAAACATAACAATTTCACTGCAGCTGCGATTACATCTGCAAATCTGTGTACGCGACCAATAAACTTTGATTTGATATTTGCGTGCCTTTGACCTAATCTGTCTAACATGTAATCAACTTTTTCATTGCAACCTGCAATTTATTGTCAAGGCAAATCTAAGGCTGAGTGTACCCTTCTTTTTTTATATATATAATAGTATAATTGTATTTTTCCCCAGAGGGAACTTCAGTTGTGGCAAATAATAGTACAAATAGTTTAGAACATCATCATTATCATTATTTGACATGAAATGACAATAGTTTGTGAGCTGTCAAATCAAATGAGGCATTTTTCCTGAGGAAAATCTGTTTGACGTTAAAGTTATGTAAACTGTTTAAGGACTTAATGCTAACATGGCCTGTTTAAGTCAACTAGGAGATTATTATTTGCCTCATTCCAGTGACTCTTTGATGCTGAATATCAGTGAAGGCAAGCCCCACTGATATTTACAATGGCCTCAATAGTGTTTAGTGTGAGACATGAACAGCCTAAATAATCACAACAATGATTTATTTGGACCTTGTGCTGTGAACAGTCCTTCATGACAAAACACTATGTGATTCTGAGTGAGTGTTCGTGATAGTCACTAATATTAATTATTTAACCTACCATAATAAAAACATGTTTGAAAGGATTGCCGTTACATTAGTCTTGCCTGTCTTTTTGCTAAATGAATTTATATTCCTGTGTATTTATCAACTCAAACATATGTTTTATCCATATAGACAACATGCCCAATGAAGCAGCTTCAAGTTTAGTTTTAACACCACAATGATACAGTATTTCTGTAATTCTACTTCAAGACAAAGTTTGTGTCCAGTGCCCTCTGCTCATAGGCTTCTTCTTCTTCTTTAAAGTTTTAAGGCTGACTACACCTATTGGTGTCTTCTTCTTCTTTAAAGTTTTAAGGCTGACTACACCTATTGGTGTCTTCTTCTTCTTTAAAGTTTTATGGCTGACTACACCTATTGGTGTCTTCTTCTTCTTTAAAGTTGTATGGCTGACTACACCTATTGGTGTCTTCATCTTCTTCTTTAAAGTTTTATGGCTGACTACACCTATTGGTGTCTTCATCTTCTTCTTTAAAGTTTTATGGCTGACTACACCTATTGGTGTCTTCTTCTTATCATCCCCATCCAGCGTGACAACCTCTGACAGACTCATATTTCTGAATAAAGATCATACAAACAATAGGCTCCTAGAATAGGTTATAGTACATACAAGTTTTGCTCAAAGCAGCCAACTAAGGTAATGTAGTTTACGTAAGTTCAATCACAAAGGCTGGTCTGAGTGCATCTCCTCAGTTTCATTTAGTAGTACAACACAATTCACATTGCATTTTATCATGGGCACAGTGGAAATGTATATATTTGATGTTTAAATTATGTCTTACCCCCAGAGTGAGAGAGTACATAACTTCTAGCAGATCTCCTTGCTGAGGGTAGAATTGATCTATTTTTATTTTTATTTTTTTTGGTCATTTAGCAGACGGTCTTATCCAGAGCGACTTACAGTTAGTGAGTGCATACATTTTCATACTGGCCCCCCGTGGGAATCGAACCCACAACCCTGGCGTTGCAAGCGCCATGCTCTACCAACTTAGATTTACATTACATTTTAGTCATTTAGCGGACGCTCTTATCCAGAGCGACTTACAGTTAGTGAATACATATATATATATTTTTTTATACTGGCCCCCCGTGGGAATCGAACCCACAACCCTGCCGTTGCAAACGCCATGCTCTATCAACTGAGCTACATCCCTGCCGGCCATTCCCTCCCCTACCCTGGACGACGCTGGGCCAATTGTGCGCCGCCCATGAGTCTCCCGGTCGCGGCCGGCTGCGACAGAGCCTGGATGCACTGCTTCTCGTGGGGTGAGCCTGATGTTCCGCATGTCACGCCTCATGTCTACAACATAGGAAAAAGGACACATAGTCAAAATGTCGATGCATCTACAAATTCAATGTTTACATTGTATCATATTTGATGAGTTACTGACCTGTCCATCCACAGGCTCGATCTGCTGTAGTCTCTACAACTGGACGAGTGTGCTTGGATCACACTGGCACAGGATGTCCACGCACCGGATGGCCTGAGGGATACACTCCTGATGGACTGGAAAACAAAGAGACTTTTGGTCAGTGGTGGGTCTTTTTCAATGCCGTATCAACATCTTTATCTGGACAGAAAATGCATTATCATAACACAAACCCACCTTGAACAATGTGACAAGTGGTCCCTCAACACTCAATCCTCATGCCTCATTGTCTGTTCTTGTTTCCCAATCAACAGTCTGGATCTTCCTCTTCTGCCATGGTGGATGAGTAGACCTTACAGTGAAATTCTTACTTACAAGCCCTTAAGCAACAATGCCGTTTAAGACAAATAAGTGTTAAATAAAACATAGATAAGTAAAAAAATTTATAAAAAAAGTTAAAGAGCAGCAGTAAAATAACAGTAGCGAGGCTATATACAGGGGGAACCGGTACAGAGTCAATGTGCGGGGGCCCAGGTTAGTCGAGGTAATATGTTAATGTAGGTAGAGTTAAAGTGACTATGCATAGATAATAAGCAGAGAGTAGCAGCAGCGTAAAAGAGGGGGGAGGGGGCATAGAAGTGATTTAGCTCGTCTGGTAGGCTCGTGTCACTGGGCAGCTCGCGGCTGTGCTTCCCTTTTGTAGTCTGTAATAGTTTGCAAGCCCTGCCACATCCGACGAGCGTCAGAGCCGGTGTAGTACGATTCGATCTTAGTCCTGTATTGATGCTTTGCTTGTTTGATGGTTCGTCGGAGGGCATAGCGGTATTTCTTATAAGCTTATAAGCGGTGGCTCTACCCTTTAGGTTTGTACGTACAGTCACTGTGGGGACGAAGTCATCGATGCACTTATTGATGAAGCCAGTGACTGATGTGGTGTACTCCTCAAAGCCATCGGAAGAATCCCAGAACATATTCCAGTCTGTGCTAGCAAAACAGTCTGTAGCATCCCAAGTGGCGCAGCGGTCTAAGGCACTTACTCTGATTAGCATATTCTTGATGAGAACATTTTACAGCTTTAACTCAGAGGCCTTCTTTAATTTTTTTACCCGTTTTTCGTGATATCCAATTGGTAGTTACAGTCTTGTCCCATCGCTGCAACTCCCATACGTACTCGGGAGAGGCGAAGGTCGAGAGACAAGCGTCCTCCGAAACATGACCCTGCCAAGCCGCCTGGCCCGCCACAAGGAGTCGCTAGAGCGCGATGGGACAAGGACATCCCGGCCGGCCAAACCCTCCCCTAACCCAGACGACGCTGGGCCAATTGTGCACCACCTCATGGGTCTCCCGGTTGCGGCCGGCTGCGATACCGCCTGGGATCGAACCCGGGTCTGTAGTGACACCTCAAGCACTGCGATGCAGTGCCTTAGACCGCTGCGCCACTCGGGATGCCCGAGAGGCCTTCTTAATGTTCTTAGTTTGTTTAACCAGTGAAGTATTATCAAACCGAACCTTAATAGAGTTTTATTTTACAAAGTCATTTATACACAGCTCATCACCAAATTACCACAACCCTAGCTTCTGAGCTCCATCCCATGGCATCTCACAGAGCTCTGGATGACAGTGTGGGACGCTTCCCTCCCTAGCCATTCACACCA